GCTGGGGTAGTCGGTATGGCTTTTCATGAATTTGGTGAACGGCTTCAGAAGTCTTGATTTCGTGAGTAATGGCGGTTGTTGCTGTGATTTTATCCCCTTCCAATTGAAACACATCAGAGTATTCCTCACAAATAGTAAGCAATGAGGATTTTTCTTCTGAGTTTAAATGGCAGGTTCGCAGGGCTGAATGTAAGCGAGATATTCTGTTCCCATCAACACTAGGTTCTGTATTTTCCAAAATTTGTGATAAGTGCACATTAGCTTCGTTGAAATCTTCGTGTTCGAGATGCTCTAGTTGAGGGATTTGTAATTGAACTTGATCGACTGTTGGATTAATAAAAGGAACGTATATAAGATGATTTCTCACTGTGGTAACACAATTTCCACAGGTGAGGGCCTTGGTAATGCTTTGGCTTGAAATTAAAATGTTTGAACCCTCTGTTTTATTGGGAGCTGGAATGGCAACGAGAATTTCTGTTCTTGGTAGTATGGTTAAATTCACAAGAGGAGGGAGGATTAATTCCTTTGACTGGTAGTCGATTATAGTTCCATGTCCGATAATGAATGGTTTACCTAAGATTCCTTCATTTGGTACTGGGAAATCGGATTGAACAACTTGGAATTCAACGCGTCTTTTTTCACCTCCAATTTGAAGTTCGATAGTGACGGATCCTAAAGTCGTCACAAGATTATCTGTTATTCCTTTGAGTTCGTACACGGTATGGTCGTAAACTATTACTTCATCTCGCAATGATGAGAGTTTGATTAAATTTAAGTCACTGCCAGAGTCGATTAAAAATTTGCTGTCTGTTGGAATGGTCTGAGGGCTTTGACACTGTACATGATCCTGTTCAATTTTCTGGCGAGCCGTATTATTTAAGATATTCCTGCGAATGAGATTGCGGCTGTTTTCAGGCTTCCTGCCGGGCGCCCGCCGTCGGCACTCGACTGCGTAGAGTTTTTTGAATTTTGTGAGGTAGTAGCTGGAGATTCTGCGGATCGCTTTGAATTTACGTATTTTAGTTTTCTGCATTCCTCCTTGGTGTGACCTGGTTTCTTGCAGTAACGACAAGTAATTGTATTAACGATCGCCTTGTGGGCGTTTTGAGGTGTTTGACCATTATTCGGCTTCACTTGGAGAGACCTGCAGTCTCTGGCCCAATGTCCCATTTTTCCGCAATGGAAACAAGGGGTACTCGGTTTCTTTGTAAGTGTTTTTCCATTGTTTTGTTTAGCAGACGGTTCATAGAAACGCTTTGACTCGTCGTGCGATTTTCTCACCCTTTCTTCTTCTCTTGCAGCTTGAATCGCTTTGTCAAGAGTTGGTGGATTTCGAGCCTTTATGAAGTCTTTCAGTTTTCCCAATCCTTCGATAAAGACTTGAATGGTCTGTGCTTTCAAACTGTCCTCCAATGCTGTGGCGACTTCTGCGGATTTTCCGTTTGTTTCCTGTTCTAATATGAGTGTCTGTAAGGCCTCAATACGCGATGAATATGTCATTACGTCCTCATCTCCTTTCTGTTTGATCGAATACAGTTCCAAATATAAATGTGGCGTAGTTCGCTGGGGTTCTAGTGACGTTTTTAGGGTATCCTTGAGTTCAGTCCAGGATTGAATCGAACGAAATTTTACTGCGGCCCGGGCCTTTCCCGTAAGCCGAATAATAATGCCTTGGAGCAGTCGCTGCTTAGCTTTCTCATTGGCACACATAATCGCGAACTCACATGTTTCTAGGAACAGCTCGAGATCTTCTTGATTTTCTCCACTGAATGTCGATGGTAATAACTTCAAGGCTGCTTCTAATCCGATGGTGTCTACGGATTTCCCAGATTGTGATAGGAGTTCTTGTGGGTTGTTCTGTGTTGAGGTGTTGATCACTGGATTTTCGTTCTGTCGGGAATTTCCTGTTTCGATGTTGTTTGGTTGTAGAAGGGACCCGTCATCGGCCATCGTGATGGTCTGATCTAAAATATTTGTATGCAAGGTATGGTTCGTATGAACAAGCACGTTATCTACGGAAGCTAAGGTTTGGTTAACGTTTTGCAACAACGTCTCGTTAAATTCTATGATTTCATTGGTCTGGTTGATAAAAAGATTATCCCCCGAAATTTCCGCAACAGGTCGTTCGGATTCTGGAACTTGTGGATTTGCAAACCTAACAGGAAGACTGAGACGTGGAGCAGGGAGAGGGTTCTCGGAGGTTTCCTCTCTATCTTCCAATTCAGGGGTAGGGGTCCTACTATTAGTATCTCCCGTATCACTCATCAACTAAGTGTTAAACAATAACGATTTATGCAAACTACTACTACTGTTGCTAACAGTTAAAATAAATTATTAAATGCTATCACTACTAGGTTTGATGACAGTAATAATAATAATAATAAAAAAAAATAATAAAAAAAATGTTCAATAACTAATTTAAATTGTTAGTATGTTAGTAAATGTTCTGTTACTCACAACACCGCAAACTGTATTGATGCCGCCATGAGTGTTGTCATTGGAAATGTGCGTTGTTGAAAGGGTCTGGATGAATCGGGTTGGCTCTGAGTGTTGCCAGTGAAAAGAATTATAAACGACGTAAATCCTCTTCGACAGCTCTTGTTGAATGGACGTTCGCTTGCCCCGAAACTGCTGGCGCGGGGACCACTACAGGTAGTGGGTTTCAATTCGGCTCCGTTATTGTTGATTGTTGTTGTAAACAATGTTATCAATAGTCTTATCAATTTTGATAACTCTTATCAATATTGATAACAATATCGATTGTGACTATCGATTTCGATTTTGACTATCGATTTCGATTTTGACTATCGATTTCGATTTTGACTATCGATTTCGATTTTGACTATCGATTTCGATTTTGACTATCGATTTCGATTTTGACTATCGATTTCGATTTTGACTATCGATTTCGATTTTGACTATCGATTTCGATTTTGACTATCGATTTCGATTTTGATGTCTTACCGTTGCTCGAACTGGTTCGACCGATGTCGGCTTCGGGCGGCGCACCAATGCCACGCCCAAGAATTTGTTGACGCCGATGGTAATAATAGTAATAATATTATTTACGTGATTTTCAGGAATGTTCTGTAGAATGTCTGAATGTTAAAGGTCTGAAATGTCTGAGTTGATCTGGAGTGTTTGAATTTTCTGCTGCTCGTATTTGAGTACGTAGACGCAGTGCGCGATTTACTTAGCTATTTAAACACTTAAAACAAATTTTTACTTTAAGCGTAACACCGGAATCTACGGATCCCACCGCTGCCACCAAAAATGTTATGGATTTTACACACAACACAAAATAAACGTACGCACCAATTGAAAATTAAAATAATTAATGTATTTTTTTATTAAAACTGGTAGTAAAAATTAAGTGTAGCTACAATCTGTTATTCGAACACTGGTAATTCTACGACTGACTGACTCCCTGTGTGTTGTCGTGACGGTGCCCCGTCTCACATCAAAAACCCTTATTCAGCGGTTCCCACGGTGGCAGCGTCTTACGACACACACTCTGCATTGTGATTGTCTATATATGTTGTTAACATATATAGATATATAAAAAATAAAATATGTACTAATCAGGGGTTCTTAACAATGGTGGTGTGAAATAGTAAATACTAGCACTGGTGGTATATTAATAATTATTAATATAGTGTAGATTGTTGTGGCCGTTGTTGTGGTGGGGAACGATCCATTTTCGTTCGTGTGTTGTACTATTCAATAATCAATAGTATCTATTGTGTATACTCGCTATACTCGCGCCGGCGAGAGAACGCTTCTCGTTTGCGCATCCAAATGACAGAGCTCCGCGGTTTCGTACCCTCATTTCTCCCACTCTACCACCTAGGCGCCGCCGTAAATCTCCCACTCGTTACGCGTGACCAGCGGCAAATGTCACGGCCGCCGTCTGTATACACCGGCTCAAGTAACACGAGAATAAATTAATAGCTGGCTATTGGGGCACCAGCTATTATGTATTTAATAACAATGCAAATAATATGTATGTAATATCATATTTTATTTATATATACCAACAACATAATACATTGTTATATTACATAATACACTTTATAATATTAACTTACTAAAAAATATTCAAATACAAAAAAATTAAAATAGTTCAAGTAAAAAATACAAAAAAAATCAAAATAGTTCAAAATCGTTCAGATTATTCAAATACAAAAAAATATCAAAATAGTTGATATGCAAAAAAATTAAAAAGGTAAAAATACAAAAAAAATCAAAATAATTCAAATAAAAAATACAAAAAAATACAAAAAAAATCAAAATAGTTCAAAATCGTTCAGATTATTCAAATACAAAAAAATATCAAAATAGTTGATATGCAAAAAAATTAAAAAGGTAAAAATACAAAAAAAATCAAAATAATTCAAATAAAAAATACAAAAAAATACAAAAAAAATCAAAATAGTTCAAAATCGTTCAGATTATTCAAATACAAAAAAATATCAAAATAGTTGATATGCAAAAAAATTAAAAAGGTAAAAATACAAAAAAAATCAAAATAATTCAAATAAAAAATACAAAAAAATACAAAAAAAATCAAAATAGTTCAAAATCGTTCAGATTATTCAAATACAAAAAAATATCAAAATAGTTGATATGCAAAAAAATTAAAAAGGTAAAAATACAAAAAAATCAAAATAATTCAAGTAAAAAATACAAAAAAATACAAAAAAAATCAAAATAGTTCAAAATCGTTCAGATTATTCAAATACAAAAAAATATCAAAATAGTTGATATGCAAAAAAATTAAAAAGGTAAAAATACAAAAAAATCAAAATAATTCAAGTAAAAAATACAAAAAAAATCAAAATAGTTCAAAATCGTTCAGATTATTCAAATACAAAAAAATATCAAAATAGTTGATATACAAAAAAATTAAAATGGTAAAAATACAAAAAAATCAAAATAATTCAAGTACAAAATAATCAAAATATAAAAAAAATCAAAATAGTTTAAATACAAAAAAAAAATCAATCGGAGTCACAATCAGAAGAACTTGTATCTCCTGTTCCTATAGTGAGAACATGACGTTCATCGTCTTCGGGTAGCTCGTCCATTAATTCGTCGGTAATATGTTCCAAGTCCCAAAACTTGTCTTCCACCTTTTTAACATGTTCAATAAAATTTTTCCACATATCCGGACTTACGTGTTCCACACCTTTTTTTAACAATTCCATTACGTCCTTTAATTTGAAGGTGTTGTTATGCGTCCGGACATAACTTTTCACGGACGACCAGGCGAGCTCGATAGGATTTAGCTCGCAGTGATATGGAGGTAATCGCAATACGAGTGTTCCGTTATCTTTTGCGTACTCATCGATTACGTATGTGTCGTGATGTTTTTTTATTTTGTAAACTTTTTTCATTAAATCATTTTTAACAATAGGATGAGTAACGATCACACCTTTACTCTCAAGCCAATCAATTATAGCTTGTTTTTTCCAAGACCTCACTGGTATTTTCTGTTTTTTTACGGAATGGTATGAAGCATTATCCATGACGATGATGGCGTTCGGTTTAAGTAATGGCAGGGTCTTAACAAACCATTCGTAAAACGTATCGCCATTCATTTCGTCATGGTAATCCGCAGAATTGGTCTTGGATTCGAAACACAAAAGGCCCCCCGGAACAAAACCGTCTGACGACCCGATGTGTAATACAATGAGACGCTTACCTTTGCCGGAGGGTGCCTTTTGTCCTGTGGTGAGACCTCTCAGGTGTGCATCTCGTGTTGATGCGACTGTTGTATCTACCCACGTTCTGCTATGCGTCTCGCCTGCATTGACCCACGTCTCATCTAAGTAATATATTGGCCTGTTCTGTGCTCGGTAATGCCTTATTTTCAACACATAATTTCGGCGCCAAGATATCAAATCTTCTCTTTCGAGAAGAGCACTGTTGCGGTTTCTCTTGACGTACTCAAATTGTAAATCTTTTAATATTAATTGGAAAGACGTACGTTTCAGATTCGGTAATGAGTCGTCTTCATTGATGGCAATTAACATTTTTGAAATTGTTGGCACCTCACGGTTTCTCCAAAAATTGTGAATTTTTTGCCTTATGGCATTTTTGTCGAATTCGTCCACTTTTTGAAGTACCGTAGGTCTCACTTTTTTTTTATTGGGCGATGACACTGTACCTTCCTTTTTATATTCTCCCAATGTAGTTTGAATTGTACGTTGCCCAATACCAGTGGTTTTTGAAATGCTAACGATAAGCTCCCTGAACGACAATTTGGGCATCTCTGGATTTTCGAGCTGTTGTTTGATTTTATCCTTGTACACATTAATAATTATATTCTTTTGACCAGTGCCAACGAACTAAAAAAAATATATATATTTAAAAATTAAAAATTTGCAAATATAATAAAATTTAAAACAAAATAAATTAACTTAATTTACTTTTTAAAATGAAAAATTAATTCGTTAATTTCACGTTTAGGAAGTAAGTTAACAGTTAAGTTAATGAAAAGCCAAAAGTAACTAGTTAAGTTAAAAAGTTATAATAAAATTAACTTTTTAACTTTTTAACTCGTTAATGCCCATCCGTGAAAAATAGTAAAGAAACACTTACTTTTCCTTTTGGATTTTTTTTGCATGGAGAAATATTTGCGACGTCTTCCATGTTGTCCATGTTATTCGTATAATAAAACAATTACGTATTTAAACACGAAAAAAATGTATGTGCGCAAAAATGAAAATTTTATGTATGTAGGTATACGTAAACGCGTAATATTATGGTAACACTATTATAGTACACGCTGTATACAAACACTGACACAGTTTCAAGGGCAGCGGCGGTGACGGCGGCGGCGACGGTAGCGGCGACGGTGGCGGCGGCCAGAGTTGACGGCGGCCAGCGTTCGGGAAGGTTAGGTGGTGGGAATGCGCGAGATCGGACGAATTTTGGTCGCCGCCCAAAAGCGTTCTCTCGCCGGCGCGAGTATAGTAGCCACTCACTAACTCCTGCTATGCCTGTACGGACTACGGAGAGTATAAATTGTACGCTGTGGCGTTGTACGACTGTCTATTGATTACTGAGTGTACAGTCTCTATATTTTTTTTTTTTTGCTTATTCCATTTTATTCTGTTTTTAATTCGATTGCTCGGTTATCCGATAAATTGTTTCATTTAATTAGTGTTTGTCGATGAAGTTTATCGAATAGTCGTGTAACTGTTGTATAGCAACAATATAGAAGCACGATGAGTTTTAATAAGAAATTAAAAGAAATAGCTCTGTATATTGGGTCTGAATATTCAGATTTAGAACTGAATAATATATCTAGTTCACATATGTGTGTCGTGGACATTTGTAAAAATGTTTTTAAAAAAACAAATGATAATAAACTTAAACGAAATATTGTATATCATTTAAAAAATGAAAATTCAACACTTCGTAAACTTTTAATAAATACTGAGATGCATGACGGTAATAATGACTCATTCAATTCTGAAAATGAGAGCATTAATTCATGCAAATTAAGAGATACTTTACAAAAGTATAATTACACATCAATCCACTTTACAAATTTCAACAGAATCATTCTCGATGATATATGTAAAAAATTAAAGATGAAACTTAATCACACTAACAGAATGTCAATTTTTAGAAAAGGACAGAAAATGTTCAATATTTCTTATAACCGTAGTGACATGACGGGTATTGCGGAACCTATAGCACAAAATGAAGGGTCAAACAATGTTGATACATTACAATTGAAGGAAGAAATAAATGTTAGCATTAACTGTGATTCGATTGACGATGTCTTAAATGGAATTGACAGCTTAAATGGGGACAAAATAAACTATGCTTCAACTATAATAAAATCTAAGGAAGACGTACCTACGATAATTTCTTTCACTGAAACCACTATTATAACACCTGAAAAAGCGCTTAGTGACGTTACTGATGGGAAATTTACTCATAGTACCCCAAATAATATCAAAATAAATAACAATGGCAGTACTAATGATAGTATTGCTGTTAAATTAAATAGCACCAAGGATAGATCTGATGGAAGCATCTGTGTAACTCCGATAAAAAAAAATAAAAATAAATACAGCAAAGTATCAACTCCTTTAAAAAATATTTTATTGAAAAAGACTCCATCAAAGATAAGGGGTACATTACCTTTGAATACGAGAAATAGGTATGATAAATCTAACGATGATGATATTAATAGTTGTAGTGAACTTATTTCATTACCCAAGTTTAATAAAATCGATGTGTATGAAGGTAAATTTGTAGTTTCGAAAGAACAATGGTCACTTATTAGTTATGTAAGCGATGACGGATTAATAAAATTGAACACCAATAACTATCCAAGTATTTTTCGAAAATTAGTTAGGAGTGTAAACAATACCTGTGTTTTAGCTTCTAAAAATGTTAATTTCGGTAAACATCATTGTATTGTGTATATGTATTGCAAATTCCCGGGCTGCAAAACGTTTAAATTTAGATGTGTGCCCGAGGAAAATAATACAATAATTCATGTGTATAGTTCAAGTTGGGACTACTACCATGATACTAATTACGGTCTCACAAGCTACGTTAAAGGTGTTCAGCGTAATTTGTATAGAGAAAAGTTGTTAGAAACTAAAGCATTTGCATTTCAATCGGAAAATAAAAAAAATGCCTCTAAACGTCAGATGCTAGACAGCGGAAATATGCAAGACGTTAAATCTGAAGATGTTATTAGGAAGATTCGGTCCGAAGCCTTAATGGCCGGGGATTACGCCCAAGGTGATTTAGAAGACCTATTAGTGATGTATTCGGATAAAGATATAAATTATTTGGGTCATGTAGGTTTACCTGCTTATTTTCATGTTTATAGCATAGAACAATTACATTTATTAAAATCTCTTGATTCGACTAAACCTGTAACTGGTTATTTGGACGCTACCGGTACGGTTGTTAGGAAGGCTGATAGAAATCACAAGAGGGTCCTCTACTATGCATTAGTTACGTCTTTTCAACTGCCATGTAATTCAAGTATTAATTGTGCAATCGTAGAAATGGTAAGTTCAGCCCATGACGTTTGTGTCATCTCGCAATGGTTATGCGCTTTTAAGGCGTTTGCATTAAAAAATAAATCAAGTTGGCCCATATTTACTAATGTGGTGACCGATTTTAGTTTCGCTCAAATGCACGCATTGTCTATTGGATTTAACGGTTTTAATTCTATTTTTGACTACCTCAATTGGTGTTTTAGAATTTTGTATGAAAATATTAATTTAAATGGTCCAAAAATTACCATTATAAACGTTTGCGCAAATCACTATACCAAAATAATAGTAGATCACGTGTATGGACATTATCAAACTAATAATGAAAACTGCAGAGTTAAAAAAAAAGAAAGGACTAATCAAATAATTAATTGGATATGTTTGCTTTTTAATTGTACGACCATGGAAAATATTGAAACATGGTTTATATCATTTTCTACGATATTATTGTCGCAACGAGTAACTGTTAACTTAAATAACGCATTAAGTGTAATGCAAAATGATTGTTATTATAGTTTTACTACGTATGAAAACGAAGAAATAAATGAAAGCAGCGATTATTTAAAAAGTGATACAAATCAAATATTTTACGGATCCGAAACAAAAAAATCTAAATTATACTATAGGTTTTTGGACATAAAAAAAAAGTTGAACGTGAACTGACTGAAGATGGATTAGTTGAAAATGATTATTTTGATGACGGTTATTTACAAGATTTCATAGACAAATGCATACCATTCATACCACTATGGACACCAGTAGTAAATTATAAGCTCAAAAATGGTGTCGAAATTCGATTAAGTAACGCGACTGTAGAGTCCTGGTTCAAAACAATTAAAGTTGATATATTCCAAGGTAGTTTGAGACAAAAGTGTGGGCGGTTTTTACGCACAATGAGAGAGCGTGTACAAATAGTATGCAAACAGGTGGATTGCAAAATTAGGAAAAAAAGAATGACGCGCCCAAACAAACTAAGGGATATCACGAAAAAAATAAAATTTGAAAATTCAGTTGATAACTGTATAGATGCTGTTGAGGAATGGGGTAAAAAAGAAAAACAATCAAAACATTTAAAGCCCAAAAGTTTCCGCCCATTTAAAACAGAATCCTTAAGAACACAAATCCCCGTTGGTGACGTAGTATACACATTAGATAGCCCACCACAATCATCTAAACACTCTAAATGCAGTACGAATAATACAACCATAAAATCATCATCAACCCCCTTCAATCAAACAACAATCGGATGTGTACCCGAAAAAGAACTGTACGGCAATGGCTTACCAAAAGATTTAATGTACTACCAAAAAATGGTTTTGCCGGATGGTACATTAAAAAATGATTATATTGTTGGTCTATATGGATACCTTTGCAAAGATGAAAAATGCGATTTCATAACAGATTTAGATTTTAGAGCATTCGATACATTATCAGAAAATAATTGGTTAAGCAATTTCGTTATAGATATATGTTTGGCAACTTATTTAGTAAAAATCGGTTCACCTAATATAAAAATCTTATCAACAAACACCGTACGTTTATTAATGATGAAAAGAGATTATGGTGAAGAATATGATGAAAAAATTAAAGTTTCTTATAACGATATTATTCTTATGCCATGGAGGGTTAATGATAATCATTGGATATTATTAGTTATAAACGTAGAAATGAAAATGTTTACTGTTATGGACCCATTAAACACAAATGAACGAATTAAAATGATTCGTTTGCGAGAAGTGCACAGAGTTCTAACCTCAAATTTTCTTTACGAAGATGGTAATAAATTGCCAAAGATGTCAACAAATAATAATATGTTCGAAAATGTACCCAAGCAAACTGATGGTTACAATTGTGGTGTTTTTATACTTTATTACGCATTTACCATTATGAATAAGACATGTTTTGATTTAACATTTGACCTCTCAGGATATAGGACGTTTTTAAAAAAATATTTACTAGAAACCTCTGAAGACATGACCAATGTTTGTCTTTATTGCGGTTGGAATTCGAATAAACACCGTTGTGACATAGAAAAAGTAACCATTGACTGGGTATGTTGTGAATCATGTTTTCGCTGGGTTGCGCAGCAATGCATTTTCAAAGATAAAAACAAAACAATCAACTATGAAATTGATGAGTTTAAATGTTTACTATGTAAAATTTAAAGATTTAATTACTAGTCAAAAATTAACTTTTTCTTTGGGTTTGACAGTAAGTGTATATATTACAATACATTTCTGTCACATTTTTTAAACTTATAAATTATATTTAAAAAAAAAATAAAAACAAAAAAAAAATAAAATTATAAACATAAAAAAATTTAAAAAAAAAAAACACATCATTGTAAAATCAATACGCTCAAATGGGAATCTAAAAACCAGGGAAGTAACTCAGTTTAATAGCATTATAACAATTTACAGATAACTGATATCGTTGACTTTACCATAATAAAGGTTTTAACATGTAATTTTCGTATTGTATTCAATATCGTTGACTTTACCGGTCGGTTACCTAAAGTAGAACACTTTTGTACAACTTTTTATGAGAACGAATTTTGTAGGAAATTTTACAAGCTTTAATTTGATAGTAAATTGAAGCGTGGAGTCTTTCCGGAAGGTTGTCGAACTT